GGTGTCCACTCGCTGTAGGTGTCCACTCGCTGTAGGTGTCCACTCGCCCATCTGCTGTTTGACGTTTAATTTTTCTGAGCGTGTGACCAGTGTTTACCTCGTCTTGTTGTCCTTGTGCCACCGTGGTTTTACTTGAGCTATTTTTACACATTTATTTCACCAGAAGCTATGGTGGAGGGAGGGTATACTGTGCACGTGTGCGTGCGTGAGCGACAACTTAACCGTCTTTATATTATGTAAAGGCAGTCTGTGGTCTTGATGATCCGGAGGAGGGGGGTGGGGGGTGAGCGTTACTGACGTGTGGCACAAGGCTAACAGCGATTGGCTCATCGGCGCCATTCATGGCTCGGCTCCTCCAGCTCATTAAAGGTGGAGACTCGGAGGAGACGCATGTGTTTCTTTCAGCAAATGGAGGCGAAGACTCGGCTGCCGTGTCACAAGTCAGTCAGCAGGCAGGGGCCCGGGGGCCCGGAGCAGACAACCCCGGGGGGAAAGTGGGTATTTTAGATGCTTCAGCTCAAAAGAAACCCCAAAAATTTCCTCTTTTTTTTTTCATGCATTTAAAATGTATATAATTTTATTTATTTTATTTGGGTGGGAGTGTTCCAAAGCCACCAGCAGCTTTGGCCATTGAACTGATCTTTTCTTTCTCTGGACTACAAAAACATATAAGAGCCACACAGAAGGAAATTAGTTTTTTGGTATTGAGATTATAGTTGTAATGTTGGGATTAGATTATGTTAAAATGTCAAGAGAAACATATAAATGCTCTTTAAAGACTAAGCTAGAGGACGTGAACCCCACTGTGCTCCTGAACTAGACTACTTGTTCTGTTTTATATTCTTCCATGATAAATGTCTATAACAAAGACATTTTTACAGATTTTGAGCTAACCCTTGGTAAATGGACTGTACTTGTGTAGTGTCTTTCTATCTGATCAAGACACTCAGAGCTCTTTACAACAATCTGTGCCTCATTGACCCATTCATACAGCTCTATACATCTCTGCACAGCTAATTGAACAAATCATTCTAAAGAGACTAACCAGAGCTTTATCACATTCATACACTGATGGGACACACATCGGAGGCTATGAGGGGTTCAGTGTCTTGCCCAGGGACACTTCGACATGCGACTGCTGGTGGATTTGAACCCCCAACTCTCACATTGGAGGACGACTGCTCTAAGCACTCGGCCACAGCCGCCCCGGTAGTATCTGAGTCATTCACAGCAAATGTACCGAGTCTCACATGTTGCTGTATCACATGAGATCATGTTATTTTCAAGGTTGAACCAAAACAGCTACAACTGTCATTTGTAACATGAAGTATCTTCCTGTAAATGTCAGGCATGAAAGGCGTGTGACATGTATTCCTTGTGTTTTATTCTAGCTGAGGGCCCTGGATCCAGTTTTCTTGTAAAACAACTCGGGCTTCTGTGAATATTTATCATAATTAATGGCGTTGACTATGATAATTTAACGTTTTCAATGAAACCATTGTTTTTTAAATTAATGTATCCTTTAATTCCCTAAATGTGTGGGCTAAACCAAGTCTTATCAGTGGTGTGCTCTGCATGCAGCAGTAAGGCGTGGGGTTCGTTCAGCCTCCAGTATTTGAAGATTCAACAGGAAACTGGGTGTCTGCTTCATTAGAGCTGGTTTATAAAAGGTCCAAAGGATCTCGTCTGGGAGAACTTGAATTCAGCTGATAACGGGTGGTTTTAGTCTCTGCAAGGTCTCCTGGGCCTACCCCAGCAGCACCAGAGGGGTGCACTGCACAGCAGCTATGATGAGCTGTCGCAAAGTAAAGTAGTGATATTTGTTTTTTAAGCAGCTAAATCCACGTTCTGAGGGTACACGGGCTGTCTGCTACATTTTCCAGTTAAAACATGTTTGAGAAAAGTTTGAGACTACATTCAGGGCCAGGTTTACTAACACTGTGCCGGTGTTCTGATGATTTGTGTACCCCCGTCGAGTTGTTGTTCTACGTTATTCATGTAACTGAGTTAAAGAAGAGGTCAGCTTAATTATAGTCGGTTTACTAAAGTTTGTTAGAGCTGTCCTGATGCATGCTCAATAATTCAGGCAGATAAATCCAACAAGGTTAATCACTAAACAGCCAGAAGGATGGCCCATCATCACCAGGCCAGCACTCTGTGGTCTGCAGGCCAGGGTCACTCTTTCAGGGATGAAGATGTTCACATCCTTGATAGATGATGATGGTTTGAGAGATGAGTGAAGGAAGCCATCTTTGTGAAGAGGAACGGGGTGGAGGCCTCCGTGTCCAACTCTCCTCTTATTGCATCACTCTGTGAATAGCAAGCAGCCATCAGGGCACGAACAATGGTCGTTAGGCTCATGGTCCTCTGTTTTCATGTGAACAGCTACTTCTGGATGTCAACATCAAACTGGTTGATCCACCATGAGAAGGTGCTGTTTATGAGACTGAGTTTGTTGCAGCTCCTCAGTCTGAAGAAGAGTTTTGGTTAAACGCTTCAACAAGAAGAATCCATCAGAGGACCTGACTTTACTTTGTTCGATTTGTTAGAGCGGATTAGTCTGCGGAAGTCCAGGATCTGTAGAGACGCTTTATTTGTCTGGAGTCTTCAGATGTGTCTGTTCAGGAGCAGGAAACGACTCCATTCAGTGGGTATCTATAGACCCATTACATTTAGTAAAAATGAGTTCAAATAAAACAATCCAGATATGCACAGCTGGAAGCTGCTACAACCAATAAATGTCTCTAAAACCTTCGTCAAATGCCTGGGAGACTTGTTTAGACCAGCAGTTCTCAAGCAATGTCTCAAATTTATTTTACACCCCCCCCGGCTGGAACATGTAGTATTTGAAACTCGTGTTGCAAAGCATTGTTGCAGCCCAGACCTATTTTAGGGACACACTGACCAATTTATCTGATTTTTCTTTTTTCTTTAACAAAGTCAGAAAATCGAGAGTATGTTATCACTAAAACTACTTCGTCAAACGTGAGTAACTTCATGCAAGTTTGCTCACTGTGGCGACCCCTGAAGAACGGAGCGGCCGTTTATTTTATTTTGAAGTTATTGCTAAAATGGAGCGCGCTCATCTTTTATTGTTGTTGTGTGTTAGTTTCACGTTTTGTAGTTTGTCATAAATATCTGCAGACTTCACTTCTACACTGGATTATACCAGAATTAAGAAGGGTTCAAGTGTTTGTCTGCACCCATCTGGTTTATGTAGTAACATAACTGTATAGTGATAACGCATGTAATGATAATAAAAGTAATATAACTTGAATCTTTTGCATTCATTCTAATTACCGTATTTTTCGCTGTACACGTCGCATTAGTCCAAATATGTTTAATAAAGTGGAAAAATCCATAAATACGTCAAATCTATCAGGCGTCACCGCTGACAACCCTGAAATGTGGGCCGGTGTTGTGCCAAAAATCAACTGGCTGCCAAATGGCGACTGAGAGCGTGCATGGGAGGACTTGAACAAGAATTTAACAAGATTAACACTAGAAAAACAATCATTTCTTGGCTCCAATTATAGAAAAGGTGCGTCTTAGTCTAACTTTTGCTTAATAAATGCACTTTGATGGTCGAATCTGCTGCATTTCAAATCTCGATACGCAGAAGTGGGAACGCGCAGAGGGCGACTCGCTGCTCATTTCTTCGAAATTTAACAAGATAACCACCTAAAACAATTATTTGTTTGCTCAACTTTATATTAAAGGTGTGTCTCAGTTGAACTTTTACTTAATAAATGCACTTCAATGGTCAAATTAGCTGCATTTCATCGGAGCGACAGTGAAATGAAGCTGATTTGATGTTTGCTCCAAGCAGCGAGCAGAACAAAGTCTATGGCAAGCCGATTGTGTCATAAATAACCACTTATCTATTACATGATACAACGGCACGCCATCTAGTGGCTGAAAATGGTAGTGCTCAATATTTTCAGTCAGAATGAATGAAAACGGTCATATCTCAGCCAAAAATTGGTTTATAAATATGGGAAAAACATAAACACGTCGCTTCAGCGTATAAGTCGGACGGCATGCAAATTATGCAAAAAACTGCAACTTACATGGTGAATACAGTAATCTATTTACTTGTATTATTACCAACACCAGTCGTGCTGTTATTTAATGTTCAAATACTTTTAGCCACACAAAAGACCATAATTTTCAATTTTAACAAATCTTGTGTTATTGCCTTCAAATAACTTAAGTACCTAAATATAAAATAATTAACCCTAATTATATAGAAGTAATAAATAACTTGAATAACTTTTATATTCAAAGGGGTGATACAGTATTTAAAATATAACACAAGTAGTCAAAATGACTTGAAATATCCATTTTGATTAGTCAGACTTAACTTGTTGACTTTATTTCACTCACAGGGAATAAGATTAGAAAGATTTCAGCTTCAGAGTGTTTCATGAATTAGTTGATTTTTGTGGTCCATGGCTGGGGGTTCGCAGACAATTTTCTTTCTCCCATACCGTTCAAGAACCCCTGGATTATACGGTTCTTGTGCCCGCCATACTGTGTGTAAGAAAATGATAAACCTTTAAACGTCCAGCAGCAGGGGCATGACGGTGGAAGATCAAAGGAGACATGTGACCTTGTTTCCCAGATTGACCCAGTTTCCTGGTCTTCTTCAGACCTGTTTGTCTTCAGCAGCTCGTCTTCAGTTGTTGCGAACTTGTTGTGGACCGACAGTCCTCCATGAGTTACGTTTGTTTCAAGACGGGGCTGGTCTGTAATTCAGACAGACTCTACTCTGTGACCTTTAACATGTTAAAACACGTCACCAGGTCTTACCATGTATGAAAGGTGTGGATGGTTGGGCTTCTTTTAGTGTTTGAACTATGAATAAAACAAAACATTTGTCTGTCTCCCACAGGATGGAGCGGATGTCCGACGACGCGCTGAGGCTCAATCTGCTGAAGCGAGGGTTAGAGTCCCCCAGTGAGCGGGAGGAGGCGCTGTCCAAGCGTCTGAAGATGGAGGGCCACGAGGCCATGGAGCGCCTCAAGATGCTGGCGCTGCTCAAACGCAAAGACTTGGCCGACCTGGCAGCCCTCGAGGTCCCCGGGACGCTGGGAGATGGGAAGGGCCCCGGAGCCAGCTCCCTCCACCACCAGAGCCTGATGGGGGCCGCCTATGAGGAGAAGCTGAACGGAAGTCTTCGGCTTGGAGGCCACAGCGGCCACGTTGGACAAAGTAAGAACGGGAAGGAGAACATCATGGACGAACCGGTGGACATGAGCGCCGGCAGAAGATGGTGAGAATTTCATTTTTACTGAACCCTGTGTCGGTACAGGATCAGAAGTTTACATACACCCAGCATGAGCTTCGATGTCCGAATAATTTTGGACTTTAAATGGTTGATTTGAATCGTTTATTTTCCAGGGAGGAATTATACAGCGTAAAACTTGAACCAGTTTAAAAACAAGAGTTTGTGTGAAATCCGAGAGACTTTTCTGAACAAATTACTGAAATAAAAATAGATGGCAAATGTTTGAAAATCTCATGAACCCGTATTTTATTCACAATGAAACATAAGAAATATATCAAATGTTTAAAGTTTAAAAAAAAAAAGCGTAAAACATTTTGTGAGGACAGGGTCAATTCATAGGCGTTGCAAGTTGTGTGGACATTTCAGTAGGCAGGGTGCTCAGTTCTGTTGACAGGATCGGGCGCCTTCCTTGGATAACGGCAGTGGAAACACTGCAATATCTGATCCCTCCCCAGACACAGTGGACATTGGGAGATTCTTTACAAAGAAGCAACACAGTTGGTGAAGTAGCAGAGACTCTCAGAGCTCTGCTGCCAGAGGTACGTGCTCTGTTCAAACAAGGAGAGCTGTTGGTCAGGCTACTTCTTGTTGTGCCGTGATCTTGAGCGCAGAAAAACTTCAGAAAGAAGTTTTAGTGCTTCAGGCTTAAGACATGGCTTCACTTCTCCATGAAAGAGCAACATTTGAACTATGTAGCTGTCTGCCACATACACCAAGATAGACTTGATCAGGTGGACATGAAGGAGATTTGCCAGTCTTTGTGTCTGTAAATGACAGAAGGCGGCTCAGTTTTGGAAGCTTTGTCTAATATGAGCAGGAAGAACTTGTTTTGTTTTGTCTTTGCCCTAAGATTAGAAAAGTCCAACTGATGGTGTTACAGAGAATACCTTAAAGAAGAAATATGTTGGGGAGAAAGAAGCCAAGTAAGAGTTTTCTGGAAAGTAAAATTGGGAAAAAATCAGTGTATGTGGAAGGAACAGTGGAAAGGAAAACAATGGCAGATGGATGTTTCCTGATGCATGCTCAATAATCCAGGTAGAAAAATCTAGCACAGTTAAGTCAGGTCCTCTGGATGGATTTAAAAAATAAAAATCTTGTTGAAATATTTTGTCTTTTATTCAAAAGACTTCTTCAGTCTGAGGAGCTGCAACAAACCAACAGCACCTTCTCAGAGTGGATCAACCAGTTTGTTGTTGACATCCAGAACTAGTTGTTCACATACTGTGAGGACCATCAGCCTAACAATGGATCATTAGCACACTGATGGCTGTTTACTATTCACAGAGGGCTGAGTGATACTAGCAATCACAGCATTGTAAGAGGGGGACAGTTGAACCCGGAGGCCTCCACCCCTGTTTAATGATGGACGGTTTCTTTTCACAAAGATGGCCTCCTTTACTCCTCTCTCAAACCATCGTTCCTCTCTGTCCAGGATGTGAACATCTTCATCCCTGAAAGAGTGACCGCTGGCCTGGAGATGAGTGTAGACTGCAGAGTCCTGGCCTGATGATGTTGATCTTCTGTGCTGGGCCATCCTTTTGGCCAGTGGCTGTTTAATTTCCCCGATGTAATACTGATCACCCTCCTGACACTGAACAGCATACACAACATTACTCTGTTTGTGCCGGGGGACTGGATCTTTGGGATGAACCAGTCTTTAATGTATTTTGGGGTTTAAAAGCCACTGGGACGTTATGTTTAGAAAATAAACGTCTCAGTTTCTCTGATACTCCCTCAACATATGGAATGACCACTGGTCTGGGTCTGGGTTCCTCCTTTTCACCTGTTGGCTGACTGGAGTCCTGTTTGGGTTTCTTCTCTGCTTTCAGGAAGGCCCAGTTAGGATATCCACATTGCTCTAGAGCCTGTCTTGTGTGGGATTTCTCCTTCTGCCTGGCTCCTGAGCTAGTGGGGACGCTGTCTGCTCTGTGGTACAGAGTCCTGATGACTCCTAACTTGTGCTCCAAAGGGTGATGGGAGTCAAACTGCAAATACTGGTCTATGTATCTGTGGTCACCTCAGTTTGCAAATGTCCTCTCTCAGAGACTGAGACCTCACAGTCCAAGAAAGTCAACCTGCCATTTTTTTCATCTTCTCGTGTGAACTTGATGTATTTATCCACAGAGTTGATGTGGTCAGTAAAATGTTGGACTTCCTGAGATTTAATTTTAACCCAGGTGTCGTCAACATACCTGAACCAATGACTTGGTGGTGTCCCTGAAAAGGACGTCAAGTCTCTCTTTTCTACCTCCTCCATGTACAGGTTGGCAACAATAGGAGAAACTGGAGACCCCATAGCACACCCATGTTTCTGCCTATAATATTGCTCCCCATATGTGAAGTAGGTTGACTGCAGGCACAGTTTCAAGAGTTGACACAGTTGTTCTGTGGAAAGAGTGATGTGACATCAAAGAGACCATTGTTTCATCAGTCTCCATGATGACCTTCTTCTCGCTGAGTGGTAGCAGCTCTACCAACTGCACCACTGTGCCGTCCTATGGAGCCATGTTGCTGTAATGGATGCAGTCTGCTGTTTAACATTGTCTTGCTGAAATTAGCAAGGTCTTCCCTGGACTGGACATGGTCTTGATGGGAGTGGATGTCTTTCTAAATTCTGAATAAAATCAGTTTTACATAAATGGTTATCTTTCCAGATGTGTAAGTTACATACAGTGCCTTGTGAAAGTATTTGGCCCTCTTGAACTTTTCAACCTTTTGCCACATTTCAGGCTTCAAACATAAAGATATAAAATTTTAATTTTTTTGTGAAGAATCAACAACAAGTGGGACACAATCATGAAGTGGAATGAAATTTATTGGATGTGTCAAACTTTTTTAACAAATAAAAAACTGAAAAGTGGGACGTGCAATATTATTCGGCCCCTTTACTTTCAGTGCAGCAAACTCACTCCAGAAGTTCAGTGAGGATCTATGAATGATCCAATGTTGTCCCAAATGACTGATGATGATAAATAGAATCCACCTGTGTGTAATCAAGTCTCTGTATAAATGCACCTGCTCTGTGATAGTCTCAGGGTTCTGTTCAAAGAGCAGAGAGCATCATGAAGACCAAGGAACACACCAGGCAGGTCCGAGATACTGTTGTGGAGAAGTTTAAAGCCGGATTTGGATACAAAAAGATTTCCCAAGCTTTAAACATCTCAAGGAGCACTGTGCAAGCAATCATATTGAAATGGAAGGAGTATCAGACCACTGCAAATCTACCAAGACCCGGCCGTCCCTCTAAACTTTCATCTGGAACAAGGAGAAGACTGATCAGAGATGCAGCCAAGAGGCCCATGATCACTCTGGATGAACTGCAGAGATCTACAGCTGAGGTGGGAGAGACTGTCCATAGGACAACAATCAGTCGTACACTGCACAAATCTGGCCTTTATGGAAGAGTGGCAAGAAGAAAGCCATTTCTCAAAGATATCCATAAAAAGTGTTGTTTAAAGTTTGTCACCTGGGAGACACCAAACATGTGGAAGAAGGTGCTCTGGTCACATGAAACCAAAATCAAACTGTTTGGCCACAATGCAAAATGATATGTTTGGTGTAAAAGCAACACAGCTCATCACCCTGAACACACCATCCCCACTGTCAAACATGGTGGTGGCAGCATCATGGTCTGGGCCTGCTTTTCGTCAGCAGGGACAGGGAAGATGGTTAGAATTTATGGGAAGATGGATGGGGCCAAATACAGGACCATTCTGGAAGAAAACCTGTTTGAGTCTGCAAGAGACCTGAGACTGGGACGGAGATTTATCTTCCAACAAGACAATGATCCAAAACATAAAGACACATCTACAATGGAATGGTTCACAAATAAACGTATCCAGGTGTTGGAATGGCCAAGTCAAAGTCCAGACCTGAATCCAATCGAGAATCTGTGGAAAGAGCTGAAGACTGCTGTTCACAAACACTCTCCATCCAACCTCACTGAGCTCCAGCTGTTTTGCAGGAAAAATGGGCAGAATTTCAGTGTCCCCATGTTCAAAACTGATAGAGACAAACCCCAAGAGACTTGCAGCTGGAACTGCAGCAAAAGGAGGCGCTACAAAGTATTAACACAAGGGGCCGAATAATATTGCACGTCCCACTTTTCAGTTTTTTATTTGTTAAAAAGTTTGACACATCCAATAAATTTCATTCCACTTCATGATTGTGTCCAACTTGTTGTTGATTCTTCACAAAAAAATTAAAATTTTATATCTTTATGTTTGAAGCCTAAAATGTGGCAAAAGATTGAAAAGTTCAAGGGGGACGGATACTTTCACAAGGCACTGTATGCCATAAGTATTATTGCACCCCCATACCATCAGAGAGGCAGCTGTTTGGACTGTGAGCTGGTGCTGGTATCTTAGATACTTAGAAAGTGTTTCTTTTTATACTTTATATTTTTGCTGTTTTTGGGTGTAACTGGGACCTTGAGTACACAATTTTGTTCCACGTCATGTACCACATGTGATGTGAATGAAAATAAAGAACCTTGAACTTGACGGGCTGGATGGTCCCTCTCCCATGTATTTCACATTTGGATTTGTTTGACCACAGAACCTCAGTCCAGTTGAAATGAGCTTTGGTCCAGAGAAGATGGCAGTGCTTCTGGATGTGTGGCTTCTTCTCTGCCTGATAGAGCTTTAAGCAGCATCTGTGGATGAACTGTGTTTACAGACAGTGATCTGTGGAAGTGTTCTGAGCCCAGAACAGAAACAGACCTCAGTAGATATACAGTACAGAAAGTAAAACTACAGTACTCGATGTTTAAAGCTTGTTGGGTGATGTTCAAAAATAAATTAATTTGCTGTCTCACGACATTAAATATCTGTGACCAGCGAGCCCTGGGGCCGCATTCAGCATGTCCACTTTTTGAAAATCGTTGCCCGTTTTGTGTGCATGGCTTTCAAAACTGTATTTTAGGCCGTGCTCATCTTTTTGTTGCCCATCTCCTCCCTCATTGTACCCACCTTTACATCGACAGGAGTACACGTTTGAAATGAAGATCATACGTTTGGACCGTTTCTGAGTATTTATCCCTCTCTGGCATAGATTTTAAACATTGGGACTGCAGTGTGTGAAGTACAGCTCCAGCACTGTGAAACTTACAGAAACTAAACTGAGAAGTGTTTGAGATGTCAACATTTGTGACTCTTTTAAACTAAATTTTGCCTCAAATTATTTGAACAGGTTTGATATTCAAGCCTTAAGCCTTCAACAGAGGAAACTGAAAAGCGTCATGAACATTTTGACATTTTGGACACTCCTTTGTGATGGGTGGTTGTGAAATATATACTGTCTATGTACTGTATGTATGTGTTTTTATTTATATATGTACTGCTGTGTATAGGGATGCACGATATTATCGGCATGGCATTGGTATCGGCTAATATTAGCAATAAAGTTAAATATCGGACATCGGCCATTCCATCAAAATAACTCACCGATATAAAAGGTGCTGTTTTAAGGTAATTTTTAATTTAAAAAACTGTCATGTATATCTATTAATGCACTACTACCAGTGCTTATATTTATACAGTAGTCTCATTGAGTCATGAGGACTCTTACAAGAGACCTGTATGATGTTTGAGTAATTCCTGCGCTGCTGGTGGTGTTACATCCATCTCCTCCTAAACGTTTTAAACTTTGAGTTAAAGCTGAAGGACGTCTCTGTCCCAGAGTTTCATGTCATTCGATGAACGTGTCCATCAGGTTTTACTAAAGTTGACGTAACATTTCATTTTTCTTGTTTTGCCACTTAGTGAGGCTGAGCGAGCCAGACAAACCCCGTCTCCAGATATCATCATCCTGTCAGACAACGAAGCATCCAGCCCCAGAACAACACCTCGACCCGATGAGCGTGTGCAGCAGGCCAACCTGGACATGTTCAAGGTAGTTCACCTGCATCACCTCTGCTTCTTGTTTTCGACCTGAATGTGTCCGAGTCCAGCTGCCAACATGACACTCTGTGACTTCTTGCTTCCAGAAGTAGATGCAACAACTTGTCTCACCATTTGAGGAACTCCAATGAAAAAATAAATGACAAAATAATACAATCAGAAACTTTTACAGTTTGAAAAACTGCTGAAGTTTGCTCACAATGGATCTTCATTTCTGTATTTTCTGTGAGTGCAGTTTCAACAGATGGAGAGTGATTATCAACTAAAAGCCCAGAAAAAACACACATTACATAAAAGTAGCTCAGTGCTTCAGCTTCAGCTCCCTTCACAGACTGGACCGAGGTCTGGAGACGAGCCTGCGGCCTCCACAGGCCTTCATGGCTTTCATGGGCTGTTTTGTACTCCTTTGTTGTGTTAGTGGTTTCTTCTTGTTCTCCATCTTACTGGAAGACTCATCCATGACCCATTGCAGTTTTCTGGCTCAGGCTGGACAGTTCTTGATTTCTGTTGTACATGTTATTGTTCATTGATCCCCCGGCGTCTCCTTATTGAAAAAACAGCCCAAAACGTCAGACTGTGGGACTGATGTCTGCATTTTACTTAGCATTTCCCTTCCTCCATGAAACCCGGTCAAGATGGTACCAAAGAGCCGAGTCTGAGTCATTGATGCTTCCTGGCCTTCCTGAGGGTCATGGGGATCTGGTGTCGGTGTTCTAGGTCAGCGGTCCCCAACCTTTTTTGCGCCATGGACCGGTTTAATGTCACAGTATTTTCACAGACCAGCCTTTAAGGTGTGGTGGATAAATACAACACAATAAAATAATATAAATGTGGCATAAGAACTGTTTTTTCTAAATATAATAATAAAACGTGAATCCACTGTGCATGCAGCTTTATTATCAGCATCTTGTAACATAGCGTCAACATCTTAACACGATTAACACCCTCTCAGCCCCACACTGTCTGGTCGTAATGGTAAAGGTTAAACATGCCTTCAACACAAGATGCACCACTAAAACAAATATGAAGTGCATGAAAAGTACAACTCACCATAACGCTAAATCAGTGGGAGCTCTGAGCTCGTTTCTCTGCAACAAGACGGTCCCATCTAGGGCTAATGAGAGACAATGACACCCCAAGTGTGTCGCTTATGTCCAGTCTGCTCCGTAATTTTATTTTGGTTGCTGTCACTACAGAAAACTCTGCTTCACAAACCCTGCTTCACAAACCCTGCTTCACAAACCCTGCTTCACA